TCAGTTGCCCTTTAATTGACTCTGACTCATGGCCACCCCATGTGTGTCAGAGTAGAACGGTGCTCTCTGAGGTGTTCAGTGGCTGATTTTTCGAAAGCAGATCACCAGGCCTTTCTTCTGAGGCCCTTCTGATTGGACTCAAACCTCCAACCTTCCGGTTAGCAGCCAAGCGCTTTAACCATTTGCAATAGCTCCTTGTGCTTCCAGCAATATAAGTTTTCTCACACTATTTAATTGCTCCCTTAATTGTTTTCCTTCAACAGACTCTAAGCTGGACAGGGGCAGGAACCAAATCCACTTGTTCATAAACATTCCTCCAAAGTCCAACGAAAATTAAGTCCTTAATATTTAGTATTCGATAAGCAAATAGATGAATGAGTTTTTTGGCTTTACTACTGCTGATGCTGACCCAGACTTTGGGACTGGAGAAGACAGCGAGTTCTTCATTTTCTGAAGGTCAGGGAAGGAGAGGAGCAGCTGCAACAGACAATAGTCCCCGCCCCCACACGGCAGCTGACTGACGCAGAGAGTTCTCTTCTGAGGGTGGGCTGCTGGGCTGGGCCTTTCCAGGAGCACTCTCCAAGTATTGTCCTTCCAAGTATTCACAACCAACTTCCCCCATCAGTCATGAGTTTTTCCAAGACCCACAGGAACCTACCCTAAAGACTGAAGGAAGTTCCCCATGTGTTTCTAAATGCCATCTTCAAAATATTTTCAGAGTTCCTGAACTGAAGGCTCGCAGGACTGGGACTTTGAATGGTGTCAGTTCTCTGTGGGCATGCCACTGGGCCTGGACTGAGGATGGATACTTCACAGCCAGGATAGGAAAGAGCCATGGTGTCTGGGTGGAGCAACCAGTAGAGGGAGGGTTCCAAAGTCTCCAATTGGCTGAGCCAGGTTGAGAGAAACCTAGCATTCCTGGGGAGGAGGGTAAGCCACTCAAGGATAGTTGGGTAAGCTGGTTTGGGATGACAGAGTGGAGTCTTGTCAGCAAACATTCATTCCCTTCTCCCTTTCCCCTCCTCCATGGGGCTGTGTGTATTTGCCAGCCTCCCTGACGCTGGGCTTGGCCTTGTTACTTATATTAGCCAATGGAATGTGAGCAGACATCATGTGACCGCACCACCACCACCACCAGTTGCTGTTAATCCCAACTCATGGCGACCCCACGTGTTGCAGACTACAGCTGTGCTCTACAGAGTTTTCATGGCTGTGACCATTTGGAGGCAGATTGCCGGGCCTCTCTTCTGAGGTGCCTCTGGGTGGGTTTGAACTGCCAGCCTTTTAGTTAGTAGCCATTTGCACTACCCAATGACTCATGATGTGACCAGAAATTTTAGATGTGCTGTGTGGGTGGGTCTTCCCTCCTAGGCTCCTTTTACTTACCACAAGACGAATATGCTCCATGCTGTCACTGCTCCTTTAGACTGGGTCCCGGAATGAAACACCCAGAGCATACCTGAACTCCACCTGCATCCTGCAGCCTGGAGTGTAGCCTAACCCAGCCAATCTGCAGTTGACTCATAAATCCATGAGTAAATAAAGGCTTTTTGTTTTAAGTATCTGAGCTCCAGGGTTGTTTGTTATAAACTACTGAAGCAATGGCTAATACACTCTTAAACTGTTGTACAGTTTTTAATCCAGCTGTCCATCTAGGAATTTTCCTTCTTCAAAAATTTGAATAAATTTGACTTAACTCCTGATTAAGAGCCTGGGGTCTCATCGAGGGTTTCTCATAAAGGATGTCAGCACTCTTCTTCCTTCTGCTTCCCTCTGTCTCCACTTTTGAACCTGCTCAGGCCAACTTGTTTCTGTCCTGGGTTAGATCTAGATGGAACAGTACACTGCCTGCTGCCTTCCACAAGTTATACGATCACATCTGGGGTCCTAAAAGCTTGTGAGTGGCCATCAAGATTTTTCACTGGTCCCACCCCGTCTGGAGCAAGGGAGAATGAAGAAAACCAAAGACACAAGAGAAAGATTTGTCCAAAGGACTAATGGACCACAAATACCACAGCCTCCACCAGACTGAGAACAGCACAACTAAATGGTGGCCTGGCTACCACCACTGACAGCTCTGAAAGGAATCACAATAGAGGGTACTGAACAGAGCTGGAGAAAAAAATGTAGCAGAAAATTCAAACTCAAAAAAAAGGATCACACTTGCTGGTCTGACAGAATCTGGAGAAACCTTGAGAGCATGGCCCCCCCGACACTTTTTTAACTCAGTACTGAGGTCACTCCTGAGGTTCACCCATCATCTAAAGATTAGACAAGCCCATAAAACAAGCGATACTATACATAGCTCAACCACGTATATGAGACTAAATGGGAAAGAAAAAAAAATCGGGAATTATTTTGGAGTAGAGCTTTCAGTATTTCATGTGAGACGAAAGAGAAGGAGAGGAGTCAAGGATGGATTAGATGTGAGGTGTTAGAAAAGTCAAGAACAACTGTCAGCTTTTGGTCTGTGTAAATGGAAGAATGGATTTCCCAGTTATCCAAATGCAAAGAGTATAGCAAGAGGACTTTTCTAAAGTGGGTCATACATGAACTAAGTTTTGGACACATTTAGTTTGAGATGGCTGTTAGAGATATAAGCAAATATATGTATGATTCTGAGTTCAGGGGGGCAGTCTGGGCTGGAAACATACATTGGGAGTCATCAGAAGATACATGAAAAAGAGGTCCACTGATTGAGTCTTGGGTTCCTCCAATGTTTAGAGGCCAGAGAGATGAGGAGGAATCAGCAAGGAAACTGAGATGGAGCAGTCAGAAAGATAGGCAGAAAGCTAGGCCAATGAGGGGTCCTGGGAGCCAAGTGCAGAGAGAACTTCTAGTTGGAGAAAGTGATCATCTGTGTCAAATGCTACTGATAAGTCAGTGAGATGAAGGTGGAGAATTGATGAGTAGTTTTAGTGACAGGAAAGTGATTGATGTCCTTGATAAGAACATATTCTGTGGAGTCATGGAGCAAAAACCTCAACAGATGGGATTTAGGAGAGAATAACATGAAAGATTTTTGCAAGTATAGATTATTCTCAGAAATAAACGAGAGAATGATGCAGTAGCTAAAGGGGAAATAGCATCAAGGGAGATTTTTTAAAAGATGGGATAGTTTGAATGCTTATGTGAATGATCCTGGAGAGAAAAGAAATTGATGATGCTACCGAGATAGGGGAGATTCACTGGAGAGCTAACAAACAGGGATAATTTTAACAGGCAGTAGGTCAAGTATACAGTCTTATATGCAGGTAGGTAGGTAGATGTGGTGATGAGAGCTTGTGAACACCCTCTTCCAATTAATCAATTTTGTAATGAAACAAGAAGCAAGGTCTTTGCTAGGTGTGGAACTTCCTTGCCTTTGGTTCCAGTTCCTGAAAACCGGATCACACCTAAGGCTAATGAGTGGGGGCTGACCAGACCAACATGGACCACCTAGGGGACCAATGCTGACCAAGCCTCAGGAGACATGATGTAATTGATCTTGGCCACATGGTGAAGCCAATAAATGCCTTTGGAAGATGGAGGTTCAGTGGAGCTTCCTGGGTGGTGAGAGCAAACATCTGCTCTCATGATGGTAAGTGTGTACCCTGGGGGCATGGAAGCCTTGTGCAAAGATCCCTCCTCAACCCTACCCTATGTGTTTGTATCCTTTTTTATGCTAGATTAAAGATTGCCCTTTCCCTGAAGTTTGTGAGTCATTCCAATGGATTACCACATCTAAGAAACATAGAAGGCGCCAGTACCCACTGACCTAGGCCCAGGTCAATGAGGGTGAGAGAGGAAGGGCTGTGCTGGCAGCTAGGGTCTGAAATGACCAGGGAAGGGAAGCTGAGATTTCCACAAAAAGTAGTTGGCGTGTGGAATGTGATTTATTATCCATCACACATTTGGTGTCAGAGGTAGATGATCTCAGCCTCCCTGGACTGGTTTGATAAAACTGGTAATGAGGATGGGATTTGCAGTCATCAACAGAGAGCTTACATGACAGAGGCAAAGAAGAAACTATGACAGAGTCATCCAGGAGTGCAGAAGAGTGAATGGACCAGGGATGGGCAGCTTGCATGCTGGCCAGTAGTGAGACTCTTCTGAGCACTTTGTATATATGATTTAATAAAGCTTCACAAAAGCCTTATGAAGAGGGCTCTATTATCTACCCCATTTTACACATGAAGAAATTGAAGCACAGAATGGTCAAGTAACTTGTCTAAAGTCACACAGCAAGAAAGTAGTAGAGCTGGGATTTGAACACTGTCTGGTTCCAGGCCCCAAATACTTAGTCACTCAGTTAGGCTGACCTAGTTAGACATGAAAGCCTGTTATGGAACGGAACTAAATAGAATAAGGGTTGAATTAATGTTTGTGGGTGCAGCCACTGCATGTCAAGCTCTGCACTTGATGCCTTCACAACAACCCTGTGAAGTCATGATTATCATCAACTCCATTTTACTGATGAGCACTCTGAGACTCGGAAGGATTCAGTTTCTTGTTAAAAGTTGTCGAGCTAGAAAACGGAAGAACTGAGTTTTGAACTCATGTAGGTTTGATTTCAAAGCCCACACCCTGAACACAGTGCCCAAGAACCTTTACAACATGCAAGTAGGCCTACCCAGCTAAAGTGAACTTGCGAGCTAAATACATCAAAATACATCTCATATCAGGCTGAACAGGTAGAGATCTTACTTTGCGGTCCTTATGGAAGGAAGAATGTAAAAGAAGGTACTTTTGGGAATGGTAGCTGTCTTACTGACTGTTTTTGGATTCTTGATCCATCAGGTGGGAGGTGAGAGCAGAGTTTACATGGTGGGAGTCCCCAGATTTTCTTTTTATCAAAACTATACCTTATATCACAAAAGCACACATTCTGCTTTTACAAGCATTTTCAAAAACCATTTTCTCAAGAAAAAGTGCTCATAACACATCATCTGCACCAGCCACCCACTTCCTCAAATGCAAGGAAGCAGACAGTTTTAAAAAAAAGCAGAAAAGCAGCAGTTGTTTTTCACGGCCTCGCCTCAGTGAGGCCTGAGATTCTTTCAAACAGGAGCTTTGCTTCCCATGACGCACAGCGAAGTGTCGACTGGGATATTTCTGGTAAAACTGAAAGCAAGAGAAGCGGGTGTGCCCTTCAGGGGGGTCCTGCCCCGTGGGACTGTGGGTGAGAGTAGGGGGAATTTGAGTGCCATCCCCAAGTGACAGATGGATGGACCTTTTGTCTGAGAGAAGGAGGAGGCACGTTGGCAAATCAACCTGAGACCCAAGATTGCTTCTGAAGCGATCATAAAGGAGAATAAACCACAAAAGCTAGAGAGGAAGATCAGAGAGGCAAGAAGGGCACGGATTGTGACAGACTCACCGCTTCACTGGATACTCACCCAAACTGGAAAAAAATGTCCCTGAAGTTGCCAAGGAACTGGGAGTTCAACCTGAAAGCAGAAGCTGGGAAAATAGGTATGGTGGCTGTCTATTCTTTGCCTCTGGGGTTCTTACACTTGAGCACCCTGCATTTGCATGTTGGTCCCCTCGGAGATGGGCCAACTGAAAAGTGGATCCCGCAGCAAATCTGAGCTTGGGAAAAATTTGCATTCGAATCTATAGGTTGGGTCAAAGTTCCAGTGTGTTGGAGGGGGTTCTGTTTGGTTCAGAGGTAGCGGTGGAATGGAGTTCCTTGGGGTGTGGGACCTGGGCTACTTCAGATGGGTTAAGGCTGCAGATCACATGGAAAACTTAAGTTTCTCTTCATTTATCATGGGAGGATTATTTCCCTTCCATGTTCGAAAACTCATTCATATTTTGACTGGCTTTGGATAAGGCCACGAAGACTGAAAAGTTTTTTGATGTGCATTATTTCTGAATCAACTCAAGGTGTCCCATTTGGTGAATCCATTGGGCCTCTAGGTCCTCTCTGTGGGCCCAGGGACCCAGGTGGGGTTACCTGGAGCAAAACATAAACAATAAGGACAAGAATAGGAACTTAGAGACATTTAAAGGTATAATAAAGATCAAAATTTCAGTTAATGGAACAGAATGGGAGGGAGTTCTTAGATATAAGAGTTGAAAAAGAGATGCATTTTGGATTAATTATCTTAAGGAATGCTGGCATATTTTCTGTGATATTATGGCCTTTAACCCATACTCCATTCCTGTACAGATGATTTGATATATTAATCTTAATCTATAATATAAACATTATTATGAGGTTCTTTATGTGGATTTGTTTTATTAAATT